ATTTTCTCTGAAAAGTTAAAAATTATAAGATGATTTTGTTTTGATTATCTGTTAGAATATCATGTAAAATAATTGATTATTAAAACAATTGTTTCTTGCAGCCCTGAATCGGAGCTAAACGTCCACCTAAGTGCTTTGGTTTCTCTGAGGTTGGGAGGGAACATAGAGAGTGAGGGGTGATATTTCCATGGAGATGATGTATTTTCATTAGGCACTTAGACTCTGTGGCATGCGTGCCGCTGTAGACCAGGAAGAGATGGGCACTTGGGTGAAATGGCCAGAAAGAATCTGTTTGCTTCAGCAGTTTTGCTGGAATGATTGAAAGAGTGTGCGAGGAGGCGCATTGCTGGGAGCCTCATATTGCTGTTTCAGGACTTTTTTTTTTTTTTTAGAGATAGATGGCTTTTCAGGGGCAATTCTTCACCGTGTTGCTCTGAGTTTTCACTGGTGTATTTTTAAGTTTTTTTTTCTATATATATTATTGTGTCTCTGAGTTTGGGTTGTCGCCTGTCTGCATCCCTGGGTGGATGTATAGTTCATAAACGGGCCAGTTGAACGCTGAGCGCAGGATTAACTGTTCACATTAACCTAGTTGGCACACTTTTATCTATAAAACCTTGAAGTATAGATCTTGTGAGTGCTTAATAGGTTTAGTGTTGTTTTTGTTGGAGACATATTTGATTTGACCTTTTTTTGCAGGTCTTTGATGTTTTTTTTTACAGTGTTGTTTGTAAGGCCTTTTCTTTTAAAATCTAATCGTCACATTTCTATCCTACAAATTGGCCTATTTTCTGTGTTTTTACGCTCTGACCAGCAGCAAAATGAAGGAAAAGTTAATCTGCCTATTGTCTGTCAGCAAAATGCATATGTATTGTCTTAAAGCAGTAATGGCTTATTTCTAAAAACGTATCTAAGCTGCATACATACTATACATTAGTTCTTTTTATATGAAATATGTAAAGATTCACTGATCTAGAACCCTGAGCCAATCCAGATGTCTCACTTTAATTATATGCTAATAGAGATCTTTTCTGATCCAGAGCAGTTTGACATATACAGTTGTTGGGCTTTTTTTCATGATTAAATAGCACAGGCACTATCAACCATATTTTAACAATATGTAGCCAAGCGTTCAGCAGAACTGATATTTACAGGATTGCAAATTACAATCCTGCAAAATTCATCCGGCCTATATACATATTCCTATTGTCAGTGACTGTTCAGTGCTGCTAAACCTGAATACAGACTGCTGAGGTGGGGGGGGGTGGGGATTGCACAAATGCTTTCTGAAGTCAAGAAAGAGTTTTGAGATGAACCTTTCTGTTTTCTCACATTTAATTTTTTTTAAATATGCATTTTTTTTGTATTACCTTCACCAGGGAGGTTATGTTTTTAGAAGTTTGTGTGTTTGTCTGTGTACAGGATAATTCATGGATGGATTTTAAATAAATATTTATCAGAAACATTTATCCCTCAGGCCAAGGAACAGTCCATTAAATTGTGATTATGATCAGAGGGGATTTACCATTAGGCAATTCTTAAACTCTGTTTACATTTACGGTTAATACAACTATTCCTTATTTGTGCAGATTATTTCTGATTTTGATAAAAAAAAAACCTTTTGCTAAAATGCCATCAGAATGCTTATAATAAGTGTGTCTCAGGGGCCCCCCTTCAGTGTCCACCATATTGGATCAGTCCATTTGCTGCACATGTTCAGAAAGGTCCAAACAAACAGCAGCAAACCATTTAAAAACAAAACAGTGCGAAGAGCAGTGTTGCCAACTTGGCGCTTTTGTCACTATATTTAGGGACTCTTCTGACCCCTTTAGCACTTTTATTTCAGAAAAAGCGCCTAGCACCACATCTAGTAACCTTTTTCTGCTGCTGGAGACTTTGGAGACAACATCTAAAAGCAGCGAACTCTGCTCTCCAGAGCAAGTAGATTGGTAACCCCGCCTCCTGCTCTCCTCTATCTTGTCTGCTGTCATGATTCATGCAGCTATTATTTTATCCAAATGAAAAATGGAGAACAGATAAGCAGATCATGGCTTGTCTACAGTGAAAAGAAGGACTGGGTTATTTACTTTTGCCTTTTTGGAAACACAGGAAGGAGCAATCAGCTAAGTGAGCTTAGTGCTTGGAAAAAATCTTTCATTCCTTTTGAGACAGCATGAAAAAGTACAAAACAACAAGAAAGGGGAGAAGAGGAGAGGGACAAAACCTAGAACAAATAATGGATGTCTAATCTATTAAAATGTCTTCTATCTGTATAATGGTCTGTTTCATGTGTTGTCTTCTTAATTCAGAGGGCCCTGTCACTGCCCGATCCGTCCCGGAAACACGATCCGTTCTGTGCCATCAGCTTATTTGTGCATCCAGATATACATCCGGATCGTCCTCGATTTCTTTTTGTTTAAAAGACCTAAATGACGTTTTTCCCTCCCAAAAATAAAAAGCGTACTAAAAGATAATGTGTTAAAGGTTAATAATGTATTTCCTGAGAAAATAAATGCCTTAAAATCCTTTGTATTTTATCACTCTTCTCTACCCGATCTGCACCAGAATGGGGATCCTACGCTACTTCCTGTGGCTAACTTTTTCGGCTTTGGATTTAAGTATAAATCTAGTCTTCTTTAATTTGATATTTTCGTTTTAACATTATAATATATAGTATGTAATCTAAAGAAAGAAACAACTAATATGCAGATAAACATGGTTTAATCATATTTTAACGAACTGCTCTGAGCATGTCCAATGATGACGTCAGAGAAGCAGTTTAACCAGGAAATTGTAACAAGTCATAAACCATTTTTTAAAGATGTGTATTAGCATTCTTTAGTGAAGATTGAATCAAGTAATTTATTACCATAATTACAGTATTTATAAACACCCGGATGAATATCTGTTCGTGCATGCCCAGGACGGATTGTGCTTCCGGGAAGGATCGGGTAGTAAAATAGGGTGACCAAACGTCCGTATTTCCCGGGACATATCCCTATTTGACGTCCTGTCCCGGGCGTCCTAGATTTTTTTTTAGAAAGTGAGGAAATGTCCTGATTTTTTAAATTACCTTCATTGGACCATTAAATTTACAGGCACTAGGGCACTGCGCACAACGCTGCGTGTGACATAATCCCTGAGCCGCGTCAGTGCGGGCAGAATATAGATAGCGTGGCTGTCAGTACGCCAACAACATGCAAAAGCGCAAATGTATGTTTACCAACGATTTACAAAAGAGTTTCCCCGCTTTCAGACCGGGTCGAGACAAATGGGATGCCTTGTGCACAGTGTGCAAAGCAGGCACATATGTCTCGGTGTCCAATGGAGGTGCAAGGGATCTGAAAAG